CTTGCTCACGACGTGCCTAAGTAAACCACTATCAGTCGTGAGGCCGTCTGTGTACCAAAACAGTTCGTTCGCCAAATAGGTTCGGGAACCTGCCAGAATGAGCGGGAACTCAGGTTCAAACCATCTTGGGTTTACACCGCCCTTTATGATGTCAAAACGGCTGCCGCATCCCCTGCCGAATAAACACCATAGAATCGCTGGGAAAGTTCAAAAATGACCGGCAGATTGTATAGAAATGTTTTCTCTGGAATGAGACATCAACCTATTTCAAAACAAATAGCCTAAAAACTGTCCTTTCACAGGCTGATCTTTCATGATGCCCAATAGGTTGAACCAGTCCATTATATAGAGAGGGCATGAAGACGCACCAGATTTTGTACAATCAAATGTTGAAGTCGTGGCAAACTTCTACTCTTGAAGCTTTGCCGTTGGGTTTGAATGAATGTATGGAAACCGTAGAAAGGGGATGTGCGCATATACACGGTGAGGTATTTAAAGGCGCTCACTCTGATGGTGTTTTGCTGGCATGGGTTTTGACCTCGTTCACCCCTTCGTTCATCTTCGCTCCGACAACTCTGTGCAACTTGTGTGATTTGAGTAAAGTGCCCAGATCCTGGCCCAAAGAGATGCCAAGAAGGAGATGAACATCATTGCTAAGTCATAACATTTCCAGTCAAGAAGTTTGTTGTGACTACACGACAATTGTGCTAGGGAAGTGCTTTCAGAATATAATAGAATATATACAAAAATTGCCAACTCATTGAGGTTCCATGCGGGAAGCGGGCTTTGCAAGGGCTATGCCGAACCCCCCCTCCCGGCGTCGCGTTTCCCTACTATGCCGTGACACCCGTGGTTGCGTGTAAAGGTTGCAGTTTTGATGGTGTCATTTGGAGTTGTGGAAAGTTGAGACTTCACTTCAAGGAGGATGGTGTGGTTGTGCGGTCAGGCAGGTTGATATCTCATGCGGCTTCGCTAGGTTTACGTGGTTTGTTTTGGCATGGTTTTGCTTAACATGTTTTTTCATCCCCGTTGAAATTTCCTTTCTAAAATGATGGGGCTGGAGGCCACTATAGGGCTTTCATTTTGTAATAAATTTTTTGTTGGCCATCTTTAAAATGATGTTACGGCCTAGCATTTTGAAGACAGGCGTGTTTGACGCCTACGGCGCGCAGAGTACTTTGTAATGAAAGAAGAGGGGTGGGTCCCACCATTTTGTAATAACATTAGTTTACTATAGAATGGCCATGAATGTGGTAGTGCAAAAATTCATTCTGGAAGCAATCTGAATCTTGTAAGGCCGTAAAATCATTTTAAAGATGGCCAACATAAATTTATTGTAAGGCCACTCACTCAATTGGAAAGTTTGATCTCCTCCATGAACCTGTAATGACAAGTTGTTCACCCCGGAGAACTATGGGGGGTCGATGGGTTTTGATACACAGCCATGCAGGCCTATGCCGTTGTCGTGCTACTGGATTCTATTAGATACCATGCCTATCGGGCTGTAAACATCATCAGGAACACATTTTGTAAAGTTGGCCGAATAGACTTCATCAATTTGTAGACAAACGGACTCATCTAGTAGAGAATAAGGAGACAACAAACTCTACAAAATGATATCGTTTTTTTATACCCTGGGAGGGCCCATCATTCTGTAGATTTTCTGCGTTTTTCATGTTTCTACACAATGACATACAGTGACCTCGAGCGCTGCATTTTGTGGATAGTATCATTTTGTAGAGCAAAAAGATTTTTACGACAAAGTGACTGTTTCGACCCCACGCCCTGAATTTCAACGGTGTTTTTTCAAGTGAACATCGGCCCTGCAAAGTCCAAGCATGTTTCTGTAAATCCCAACCCACCTCTTCTGCCCAATATCCCGGTAATATCCCGGTGCAAGTTTCCATTTAAAGGTCAACCACCCTGGGTAACAAACAGGGTTTCGATTTTGTAAAAAACATTTCCAGGTACCCATTTTGGGGGCTGGGGCGGTTGATTTTGTAAGGCCAGCATTTCTTTCTTGGGGCTGTTGGTGTTGTACAGAATCGATATGTCACGAAAGGTAGCCTGGTAGGGACTACCTTGAGTTTGCCTTGCGCAGCAAAGGGACTAGCTTGAGAGCCCGCTCGGGACCACAGATTGGTAGATCAATGTCTGACACCCCCCCCATTTCCGTGTGATGATTCATTGATTAAACAAATGTTTTGAGCCAACGGCAGCACCACCAGCATTCTCGACACCCAATCACACCATAAGGTGAAGTCACGCGCCAGCAGTCACAGCAGCACGACTCTGGCCATGAGGTTGCGCAATACAGCACGACCCTGCAATGAGGTTGCGCAATGCGGCTTCGATGCCGCACGTGCGCACCCGGCAGGCTGACACAGCCCGTGCTGCGTTCACAGACCATATTGTTCGACACCAACCAGCATCGATACAACACTGGGGTGGTTGTCCTTGTGTGGAACATGGACCGTCGAGTCTGTAATGGATTGGCCTGCTGTAGGGCATGGAATGAAGGCATTGTACATCCTTGCATTCAGCCGGGTCAAAAGCTGCAACACAGCTTCCGACGATTTCCAACGTTGGCAATGTTTTTTCCAGTAGGGGTAGGTTCCCGCAAGTGAACTGCAGGACACAGCGAGAAGATGAAAGAAAAAACGAAACGACTTGAAGAACCGTATCGAACCGTGAGACGAAGCGTATCGAATCGTGATGACGTCGCACCGCACCAGTACAAAACCGTTAGTTCTTCCGACCCAGGGTTGAGAAATCAGAATGGAATTTGTATTTTGTTTGAGACGTCAGGGGGTTGATTTCCTGATGGTATCCAGCCAGTGTCGACAGAGTACAAATGATTTTATGAAGACTCTATTTTGAGGCTGGGGTAGTTGATTTTGTAATATCGGCTGGAAAGTTGACCCTTGCCTGCGTGCTCGGGATTTGATTTGTAACGTTTTTCAGATTTGCGAGCCTGGGGTGGTTGATTCTGCGCCACATACTCCAGAAATTTGAAGAAAGACCGCGCAACAGTTTTCAGTATAAAAACGTATAAAAATATAACCCTCATACTTCCCCCACCTCTATATGGAACCAACTTCAACCTTTCGATGTGTACCACTGTTTTTCCACAAATTTGGGCATCAAAATCATTTAGCAAAACATATTTCCCGATATTTTTGCGCACAAAGTTGAGCATAACCACTTGTAAAGAACAGGTTCTCGGCACTGAAACGTTTCATGTTTGACTCTAGAGTGGTGTTTTTTGCAAGGGTTGGTTCGGCAATGGCTTGATGTTGCAAGGGCGCATTGCACACAACACACCTTCCGAAACCCCATTTGAAGCACAATGCCCGTTCCGGAAGCTCAATAATTGCGATCAATTTGTTTTTGTCGGTTGGTTGTTTGTTTTTTGGCTTGGTTGCTGGTGTCCTTGGTAGGCTGCTTGCTGGCTGGGTTTGGCATGCTGGTGCGGCGCGACTGGGGCCCACCGTAGTTCCACCGGAATACGCCGGAAACATGATGTTATCTCGTTTGTACCTTGTTCCCCCACGGCCACGGGTTCTTAGATGTCGCTCAGCGACCTCCCCAGTTCTTGGTTTGCTAAAATGATGTCGTACATGTTGGCAGGTGTTCTTGCATGTCTGTCATCCGTTTTCTGTTTGTCAGAGTTTAGACTCTAAAGTGGGCAAGGCGAGGTGTATTCCTGGGGTACCCCCTATCAAAATTGAACTGGGGTGGCTACATTCACATGTAGGAAACATGTGCCAGCTTGTGACACACAAAAATGCGCCACAAGTTGTGCCAAAGAGGAAGCATGGGGATGCCAACGGCACGTTTTTCAAAAATATATGCGCTGGCTGTGCGTTTGTTCACCGCAAATTTGCGAAATTTGTGTTGCAGGTGGTTGTGGTTGAACCGTCTCACCTTTGCCAGTTTTTGTCGAGCACATTTTGTTAATTAGTTAAGACAGTGCCGGGAAATGTCACTTATACATTCGCCCACCTAGGCGAGTGATTCATACCAGTGCCCCCCTTGCCTTAGTATGTTGATTACTTCTATATCCCAGCCAATGGTATGGGTATGCGGGCACGATGACCCATAGGGTATGATATGTTTCCGGTGTTTCCCCGCAGCCCAAAACAGTTGGATGTTCTTCAGGATCTTTCACTACAAAACTAGGACTAGGTCAAACGTCAACCGTGTTGTGCAAAGGCACATGAGAACGAACAGGGTCCGATCTCCTCCGTTCCGAACTCCTGCCTTCTTCCACCTGCGCCATGACTGGCAGCAAGTATGCAGTTTACAAGCCATTGACGCCCCTGGGCCTCTAGTGTTGAAGCACGATACTTCATTCCAAAAGTTCGGCATGGGCAATTTGTTGCCTCGTGTCTATATGGATCTTAGTTTGCTGATGTGAGTTGTTTTCCCCGCCGCAAGTGTAGTTCAGGATGGGCAGACCCAAACGGAGACGCCAACTTTTTGGAACAATATGTCAATCATATGTAGCGAAACATTTTACAACTTAGCGTTTTCCCACTTGCGCTGATGTTCCTCCAGCGACGCGCCCTTGGAGTTGCATGTGGTTTTGCGCATTGCGCCAATCCTTTGAAACAGTTTTTGTCGCTTGCCACCCGTTTTTGAACACAGTTTCGTTTTTAAATTGGCCAACATGTGGCCCAAATGGCCAACCGCCTGGTACCTAAGACGGGGTCCATTTTGGGTTTGCTGTTTTGGGCTCGCACGCTGGCACGGCAAATGCCATGTAGAAAACCGTTGCGCATTGTGTTTGAAAACCACGGGCCAAACATGCCCCATTGTTGTTTTTGTTTAGGTTGCACGTTTCACCTAAAGGCGTTTGTTGCCCTGGAAGTCTCAAAACCAACTATGACACAAAATTTCTACCCACCACCACCCCCCGGCTGGCTGCAGCACGGACAAGGGGAAGCGAATACAAACAACGGTGACATGCCAAAAACACCACCAATGCAACATAGATCCACTTTCCAGGAACTCAATGCTAGTGCCATGGTTGCGGCGCTTGTCCCAATTGGACCGCGCCAGTTCCAAACAGATGCTTGCAGCCTGCTGAAATTTGGTCCACTCAGCCACATCCAGCCAAAGCGCTGGCAAGGGCATTGCGGACCAATTGCTTTGTGTTTCGTCACCTTCCTGGCCTCCCGCAACTCGATGTGTGAAAATGGTACACGCAATCCGCGCTGCTACCGCTTCCTACCAAGAGTGCGATCGATCATGGTTTTTTGGGTTCACTAGGTTTAAGACATAGTGGACATGGGTCGACAATAAGATGGTTGGCACCGACAGGTCTGCAAACGTGTCAGGTTAGCCAATTGTTTTAGATAACATCGTGATAATTTTTTCACTTTTCAAATTCACATGATTTGTGCAGACCTTTGGTGTGTGAAAGTCATTCTTTTCATTGTAACCAATTTCTGGTGAGGGGGTGATTCTATAGTCGGTAGCAAGGGGGGTTACACACAATTCTGTGCACCTGTGGCGTAGTGACGCCGTGTGAACAACTTAGGCAAGCTGCGCCAAATCCATCGGCGAAACGCTTGGCGTGGTTCGGAGGCCCATGCACGCGGGGCAATGTCACGTTGGAACACGCGTCTGAGAACTGAACGCAACTTCAAAAATACCTGCATTGTGTTTTTAATTGTTTCAGTCTTGGGGTGTTCAATGGTCCCCACGCAGAGGATCGGAATAAGGGTTCGCAACCACACGTACCACATTTTACCACACATAATGCTTGGACGCCTCTTGCTTGCTTCTTTGATCTGGTGAGGGTGTGGCCGCCACATCCGCCGTTTTTGATCTTTTGGATGTGTTCCTGGGGCAGCAGTGCCAAGGAGATAGGTGAGTGAGTGGGGGCAATTTGGGTGTGGAACAACCGGCAAAGGTGGGCTATATAGAGTGTTTCCTTCCATTTTTTTGTTCAACCACTTGCATTTTTTTGACTGCATGGCCCCCTCCGTTTTTGTCCATAAAAACTATCGCACAGGTTGAAATTTATATAGATAGGCATGCTAATCCGCCCACATTTTCCCAGGCGTATTGTGTCACTGGTCTTTCAATGTTGCGTGGGAACAAACAACAATTCCTCAGCACTTGTGCTTGGCACAGAGCCCAGGGTTTCTTGAGGGCTATACAATCACAAAAATCGGCAAATGGCATCATCCAAGCAACCAATCCGATCCAGAATCCAGAGGTAGGTAGGACGACCATCAAACAACAGATAATAAATACAGTTGAAATTCAAGAAGAGATCAGGGCACCAATTGAGACCCGCAAAGCCCGACAAGTATCGAAAACAAACCATGGGCCCCTTTCGTTCCCTGCTCTCGGGGAGCTGAGGCCCATCAACTCGTCTCAGCAAGTCAAGCTGAAACGTTTCCTGGCACCTTGCCGTGACTGGTATCAAGGGCATCGCTACTAGTAGCTCCTGGCACTACTACTTTGTACCAGAAGCTACTAGTAACAAGGGCATTACTAATGGACGCCAATGGGCGGAAGTCCATTTGACATTCATGGCACATGGCGAAAGATGGTAATACTTCGGGAATGACCGCCATGGAATTCCAACTTTTGCAAGATGACGCAGATAACTGGAGAATGTTCAAATCATTGCCATGCAGAGCTCAAAAATGTTCAATATGTGTGATATCAAGTCACTTTTCTGCGTCCCAAACCGGGACAGCCAAGGACAAAGATGGTTTGGCGACACTCGATTGGTTTCAGTTTGTCACTGTCTGTAGCGTGCATCCCTTGCTTTAGGATGTGAGATTTGAAATCATGCTACGAGGTGCCGGAACGAAGATGTCATTATTTTATGACCCTGCACCTCATGGCAGCTCCCCACCTTTCGTGAACCTTTGTAAGTCTAAAGTGACGGTGTTTCATGCCGCCTCTGCCAACTGCCAACCTCCAGGAAATCTTTGGAGCGAGCTTTGCCATCGCCTCCGCCCATTCTGCTGCTGCACGACGGTCCAGGTTTGCCCTCCAAGTACTTAGAGCCTTTGGCACCGCGCCTTTGCAGCCCCAATGGCCGAAGCTGCTACACGTGAACCGGCTTGGCATTGTGCACATGGCGTGGGTGTTTCGAGCGGGGTCGGCATCGCTGAGTGTGCACCCTCGGACATCTCCTCTCTGATCTCAGGTACGACCAGCGGGGTTGTGGCCTGTCCCAGGGCGAGGGCTCTGCCGATCTGGGAACGGCGGTCCTTGACCTTCTCGCGGTGCTACGGTTCCTCCACTGCTCGCTGGGAGAGGTGGGCCTACAAGAAACGGGTGGAAATCGGCCACGCCGCAAATAGGGACTAACATCTGGGTGAACAATATTCAATATTGATCATGGTGGTCAAAAGGGCGAACTATTTACATGAAATGCAGGTTTGTTATAGCTTGGTTGTTAGTGGTGGGCATTAACCGTGCAAAGTGGGGACTTCTTTTGTCACATATAGAAAGGCGCTCATTGCAAGTGGAAACCTATGTTGCACGCCAGTTTGGAACAAGGACATGATGCGCGCCGTGTTTATATGTCTACTCGGCCACGGCAAAGAGTTGCGCATGCTTTGGTTCAACATGGGTCCATTTGACCAGTTCCGCCCAAGCAAGCTTCACCTTCAGGGATTCAATACCGGTGAGCCCTCTTGCAAGGCAGAGCTTCATATTTTGGCACACGGATTTGGAGGCGCGACATCACGCATGTTTGTATGGGCCTACCGTTGGTGGAAAATATCCTGCAACACTGGGAGACCAGCTGTGCTGGATTTCTGCCATCAACACTGTTGCTGCCCTGGCTTCTTCAATGCAGAGAAGGAACGGTATCAAATTCATGTGCCTATTTACGCTGATGCGTTCGCATAGTGGGCACAGGAGGTTCCACAATTGGCAGTGGCACCTTCGACGTTCGGCCTCGGCATGTCGCACGCTGTTGATGACCAGTGGTTTAGCGTTGGGTGTTTCGCACTGCTAGGTGCTTTGTTGATGGAAGCTCTTGCCAGACACGATCTTTTCAGTTCACCCGGTTTGCCCAAGCTGCGATCCTTTTGCTTGCCCGAAGCCTCAGGGTCCACACACACCCAAGCAGAAGAGGGATGCTATGGTCCGATGTGTTGCTTTCCGGATGTTGGGAATCTTCATGCATGTCAGAGTCAGAGCAGGTTCTATTGAGGATGTTGGGAATACCTCAGGCAGCTGAGCAGATTCTTCTTAGCAAAACGTCGGGGCCACTCGGCTTGCTCCGTCCCCCCCCGAGGTGGAGCGTGGCGAGTTCCACCCAGCTGGCCGATCAAGCAGCTGAAGAGCTGATGGCGGCCTCTGCGCAAAGCGTGGGGCAAGCGGATGCAGCCAGGGCCTTTTGGTTCCGACTCATGGCGGGATGGGATATGTTTTAAAATGAATGGGTTTAGGGTTTTGACAGGTTTTGCGGTTGACGTATTGTTCCTTCAGTTTCTGTTTGCTTGTGTTTCATGATGTTTCATGCGTGTCCGACATTCGCCGAGGACATGTTTGCGCTCTGAAACCACAGCCTGCCTGCCTCACGGAGGCATATCAGCAGAGCGGCTTTTCCCCGCGCTGGGGTGCACTCCGAGGCACGCGACGTATGGAGGATGTCTGAAAAGAATCACCTGCGAAGCATCTCGCAAAGCCCGACCGCCCCAACTTTTGGAAGTTTCTTGGATCCACAGTTTGGGCTGGTGACGTGTGGAACCCAAAAAAGGTGTGGAAAATAGAATGCCAGAGTGTTTTTCCTTCATACAGCTCTTGGCCTGAGAGTCCTGAGGCTCCGAACACCGTATCGGCTCCGAATTCAACGAACAGGAGTAACAGGAGGTGTTCTTTTTCACGCTGTCATCGTTGTTTCTCCTCTCGAACTTGGTGGGGCCCATTCATGTTAAAAGACCAAGAGATGTGTTATGGGCGCCTGATCCACCCAGCACATGGGCGCCAGGATGGGACTGGAAGTCCCAACGCTGGGAGCTTCGCCCGGAAGGCGGTCCATCGGTGTGAAAACCAAAGAGTCGTTGGGTGGCAATGTGTTTGGAGATTGCTGGTTTGGAGATGTCTTGAGAAGGAGGAGGTGTCTTGAATGGGTGGCAAGAGACATGTGTCTTTTCTGGACATCCAAGTGGTGATGTCAGTGAACGCCCATAATCCTCAAGCTCACATGTCCGCCCAACCTGAGCTCACGATTGAGGGAAGAGTATCCATCAATTGTGGACGTGACCAGCTGATTTCCCTTAAGTGGATCGGGCAAGCCACGATGTCGCTGGGAGCCGCAGTGGGTCCAAAGACTAAACCCAAAGACCTAGAAAATGTGGGGAGCCCTCCTTATATCCAAGAAGTCCAGGAGCCCAAAGACATCAACCGACGATTTTTGGACCTATTGTAGTAAAGGAAGTTCCTTTTCGTTCCACCTAAGGGTATACAATGGTAGCTGCGATCCACTGGCAAAAACCATTTTGAGACCCTGGGCAGGTGCCCTGGATGGCTGGAGCGTTTGTCGCCAGGAGGTGGTGGCATGTTTTCGAGGAGAAGCGAGCATGCATGTTTGTGAGTCTGTGAGTAAGTTTGTTTGTGTATTTCTGGGTTTGGTTGGATCTTGTGTTTGTTGGTTGGATCTGGTGATTTTTGCGAAGGAAGATTGCTTCAGCTAGCGCCTCTGAACAATTATCAGGTCTGATACGACCAGAAGATCTGGAGCAATTCCCACCAAAGGTCTTCTGAGTGGTTTCCGCACAATTTTGTTGTGAAGCTGGGACCCTGGGACTTCTCTTTGCAGATTTGGTGACAGACGACAGCCAGGGTTTTGAGAAGCTACCCCAGTTCACTTGAGTTCATTGGTCGCGGTTCCTCTCGTGGCGGGTTGCCGTTCTGTGGCAGCGTCGCACAGGAGCCAAACCGCCTCGCGTGCCCGTGCTCAGCCTGCGAGGGCAACATGACTTCGTCACGGAGGAGTGGTGAACAAAAATGAACCAAAATGGAGTGGGAATGTGTGGTACAGGCTTGGTACGATAGACAAAAAGGCGCGAGATGTATTCAGACATACCTGACATAGCTCCAAACTTACCCACTACCAACAAGCCCTAGGGATCCAAGTACCTTCTCAGCAGGTGATTGGACCCTCCAAACCTACATAGCGGTGTCTCCAATCACCTGCTGAGAAGGTACTTGGAGCCCTAGGGAAGGTACAGAAGTTGTTTGTTGGTGAGCACCGATCTATGACCCCCTTGGTCCCCTCGGCGCCGCGTATTTTTCGACGCCAAGCGCGTCCACAAGCCCAAGTGGCTGACACCCTAAGAGGACCACCACATTGGTGGGGTGATCGAGTTTTGCATGTGGAAATCTGGTTGGATCATGGCGGAGTTGATGTGTTTTTTCTGTTTTGTTTCTATGTGCCTGCTGTCATTGGAAATGCTCGTTCTATTCGGGGAAGCAGTATCTAGCTCAGGGTCCTTATACATCTACAGATTTCTTTTGTGCAAGCCGTGCGCGTCAACCACCAGTTGGGACGTTGGCCGTCCGACTTCGAAAAACATCCTGCAGTTCTAGCTGGCACATTCACTCTTTGAGTTGAACGATGTTGAGCGTGCCTAGTCAGGTGTTTTGATCACCGCCACTCAACCCCCCACGACAGTCCAGGCCTGTGTTGCCGCCTGGCGTGGTGTGGAGGACGCTGGTGGGGACTTCAGTGAGAGTGTGCTGGGCGGCTGTGGGCATCATGCACACCTAGAGGCCGTCCATGTGTTCCTTGTGGGCAAAAGCCCAGCTGTTCACGAAAGATGCCAAGAGACGTTCCTTTGCACAATGAAGCATCTGGCCTTGGACAAGCCATTCATGTTCATTCATGTTCACATTCTCCGGCCTGAATGGGCGGCCAGGCGCCAGACACGGTCGCTGCCACTCTGCGGCTCTGGCTGTTGAAGGTGGAAGACGGCCCCGCGACGTCTTCGCGGACGCCGTCCTCGACGTCCTGGACGCCGTCCTCGGGGGTGAAGGGGCGATGGCTGCTGCGTGCCGAAGCAGCGAAGATGCGGGGGGCAACGGGGAGGGGTTGGATATGTTTGGGAGGCGAACAAGATGGCCTAAGTGGAAAGAGAAATCTGCAGCCAGTTCATAAATGTTGTGCGGTGGGCTGGGCTGACCGCAGATGTTCAATGATTTCAGGCGAAGAAGCTCGGCAGCATTTGACGTCCTGGGCATCCAAGCTCTGCTGGGCGAATGCGCTGGCGAGCAACGCGACGCCGGGCGCGTGGCGATCCGTTGGCCAAGGCGGTTGTTTTGTCCATGGATTTTTGAAGAGAGATGCGTTTTGGATCCGGGATGGTCCGGGAGGCAACCTTTCGATCACCTGCTTAACCTTTTGGGAGGATTTGGGCCCTGCCTTGTCGTCCCTGGCCATTTTGAGATGGATGAGAATGGGGGGGTTGCTGGATCGGCAAGATATCATTGCAGGTCCATTCCTCTAGCAGCTAGCACCCCGAAAGCTCGGGCTCGGTATTTTGTAGGCCGTTGACACGGTGCTTCAATAGTCCAAAATACTTAGAATATATATATATATATATTTATTTATTTATTTAATATATACACATATTATGCATGTTCTAACGTTTTCATATGTCAGATTTGACATTCACAAGAAAGTGGCTCTTTTGTTTTTCAAGATCTTTGGTCAACTCCTGCACATGTCCCCACTCTGCAACGGAGCTTTCTGAACACCAGGCCTCCCGCAGCGTGACATCTTCGCACCGTCTCGCACTGCCCGGCGCTTGGCGGTCTGGGCTGCCGACTTGCCGGAGAGGCGCTTGGCACGGCACGGCGGCGGAGGGTCGTTGGTGGTGAGATGGACAAAACAGAAGGACTCGTCGTTGGGCACTGGGGGATCAGCATGATAAACTGGCGTTGGGCAAGAGTTTGGAAGTCCAAACGCATGTAACTGGCAATGGATCGAATTGAGCAGGGCTTGTGATGATTACGGAAGACGCGAAGAGAATAACTCGACCTGTGCCTTGGCTGGAGGCCGAAGAGTTCGGCCGATGCGGAGGTGGGTTCTGAGACGAACATATCTAGTCTAGAGGTGTTGGTATGACCGGTCGTCCAGCGAGCCGATGATGAGTTTTCATCATGATTCAAAGCTTTTCCAGAGTTGAAGTCAACGAATGCAGCAACAAGTTGAAGAGTTCAGGCACGGTGCTTGACGGAACCTCTTTCTTCACAGCCCTGGGAGTTCCAGGCGAATATCGTGTTCATGAAGCACCCTGGAAATCCGGAGCATCCTGGTATAGCCCGTCTTTTTCTCCCGCCAGGTCATGAGCCTCTCAGAGCTTTGGAAGAACCGTCCACGCTGCAGCCTCTTGGAGCGTCTGAAGCGAAACTTCTGACCCCTACGGGCCCAAAGAAACGGGTGTTTTTGGTTCCACTTCCGTGGAAGATGTGATGTCGGATGTCATGTTCGCTTGCTTGAAAAGAGGGGCATGTCTTTCCAAAGTTGGGATAGTCCGGATCCAAGGTCCCAAATTCATTCTCCATTTTCACGTTTGGCATTGGCCCGTGCGGGGGCTTTGCACCAGGCAGCTTTTTGTCTCAACGTGTTTGTTATCTCAACTAGCTTCTTTTTACGGATCATTTGCAGGGGTTGCTGGAAGACTGGGCTTATGAGTGTCCCATTGCCTGTACTGTAACAGCCGGTAGACCAGTATTTCTATTTCAGGGAAAAGCCTTTACTCACCATCATCATCCACTGTTAGAGGGAATGGTATATTTATATATGTAGATGTAGATACCAAATGCATTTTCATCAGCACAATCGGTCTGACGAATGGGGCTTCCAGGTCGAATGGCCTTGGCTCTGCAAGACGACTCCTTCGATGCAGCCGCCATTGTGCCTTCGCTTTCACAGACACCTGAAGGACAAAAATCCGATCGCTCTCAATTGGATTCGCATTGGAATCTTCTCGTGGGTGTCTCAGGGACTTCTTTCCGGATGAACCACCCAGACAGTAACAACCCTTGGCCTTCTCTTTGGCTCGAACGCACCGTCAGGTGTGTTTGGAGCGCACCAACGGCGATGTCACCATCGTGGGCATGGCGCAGAATCCCAGCGCCCCGCACCGCTGCCGCTTGGGCGATGTGCAGCCGCTCCCGGAGAAGGGGAAGACGAAGACCCAATGAAGATCCAGTCTTTTACCAGAGTTTACCAGACAGTCCATGAAAATCCATGAAATAGTTGCCGATCAGTTGGGGTGGTAAGTCAAGATGCTTTTTTGGATCAGTCAGGATGGTGGATGTTCCACTGCGTCTAGGTGAATGTTCCACCGTAGTTTCCCACGTCAAGTGAGTATGCGAAGGGTCGGGCGTGGGTCCCCCTGGTGCTGCGTCTGTTGGGGCATCATGAAGCTTGCAGTGCCGGAAGTTGGCCCCAGAGAGCCCAGTTAAGGCCTCCAACCATTTGAGAAGCAGGCTGGGTTTGGAGCACATCGCCCATCACCCATCGCCCCCAAGTTTGAGGTGAAGGGGTTCTGGAGCACATTGAGGAGACCGTGCAATCTTCCAAATGAGGTTCAGAGGGTGTGGTTTTCCAGCCTGGCTGACCTGCGGCTCCGTGTACATATTTGCTTAGACATTTGCAGTTCAGAAGTGGAACTTCGAGCAGAAAGAACACTGGCCAGGGGCATATCAACGTTGGACTCTCATGACTGACGCCTAACGTGGCTCTGTGGGCCTTTGCACGTTTTTGGTGTCATGCTTTAGATCAGCTTCTTGCTATTGGGTGGCCCAAATGACAAGCCATCCAATGCTCATTGGCTATTACTGTACAGCACTGTGTCCATGAACTATGCATGAGAGTTTGGGCATTGGCAACTGATGTGGCCCCTGCCTTAAGTAAGGCTTCACGAGAGCAACTCAAAACACCTATGCGGGAGAGCCCCACCCAGACACGTATATTTCTCCCAAGTGCGAGAGCCTTTGCAAAGAGATCAGGTCGACATTGGCTTCAAACTTTAGTCAGATTAATCCTTTTGCAGATGACCACATGAACTAGAGGAACATCTCCTGCCGCGGATCAATCTTTAAGGGTCCATGTTCGTTGGCACCGGGGTACATGTTGGTTAACCTGATGTGACATGGAGGTGTTTTCACCACCGGGGGCGTAGGCACCGAACATGGTCACCCTTTCGGGGCCATGCTCCACTTTGGCCGGACGAGTGAGACCCACCAGATCCAACGAGTATCGAGAACGATGGCCACAGGAGACATGCAGAACTACTCGGTTTCGCTCCACCTGTAATCTGTGACGGATTCTGTATACATTGTTTGATGTATGCTCTTATATATATACACTCGTGTGTGTAGATTTTTTTATGTCTATATATATATATATTCTGTTATATCTACATACGGATACAGTAATACCGAAGTCCAACGGCCATACTTCTTAGTAAGCAATTCCGAGAGTTCCCGTCTTCAGGGAACACCGTTCCTCAGACCCCTTTCATTGGCCAACTGGACAGTTTCTCAGGGCATATGCATATGTATACTGTAATTATAGTCTATAAGTATATATAGTATATGTGCTGCATCTGCATATATATATATAGATATGTGTGCATATACACAACACCTTGGAGCTCATGACTCATGCGATTTGTGTGGCATTCAGCAACCTCCTCAAACGTGGCCTTCAGCTTTGAGTCGTTGGCTCTGTTGTGTTCTCAGTCACACGGGGTCGGGGCGCCATGGACCACCTGGAGGTGGGGGTGGATGTATGTGGATGTGGTGGATGTCCTCCAGTGGGATGGCCCCACGGATGGTCAAGACCTCACCATCCACATTTGGTCTGAATCTTTGGAGGAACCCGAAGGAGACCCGTTATTTGTCTTGCCCCACACTTGTTGGCTGCTAGCTCCTTCTCAGGTGGGAGAAACTGTGTGGGGAACAAAAGCATCCTTTGCCGCTTTGGTAAGCTTCGGCCATCTATGAAGAAAAAGCAGAAAAGGAGGAGGAGGAGGATCATTCATCCTGTGCCCCGTCCTTCACTGCGTCCTCCACATCCACCGCTAGGCTCCGGGAGTGGTCAGATGAGTGACTGGGTGTGCCAGCCGCTGGTCGGGAAATGGCCGCTGAGGGGGCTCATGTGATGCACCCAGCCACGAGGCTTCTTTTGAATCCTAGTCAAGGACTTGGCTCGGGCGAACATGGGCGAAGGTTTGTTCGGAGAAATGTGGCTAATATGGGGAGCCTTGTTGCAGTTCTTGAGGCAAGCTAAGGAATTGGAGGCCCCCAGGCATCCAAGACGTGGCAGCTAAATCTGGAAATACTTGTTCAGGCTCTTCCATCATGAATTGTTGATCGCAGACTTGATGGAAATTGCGCGGACACCACCTAGGATGGACACCTGATCTATATAAATGCAACCCCTACATCATAGATCACCAAATAAGAGAGTGTAGCCAAGAAACATAGAGCCATAGACGTGTAGTTTTTGAGGGACCCATGTCCAAAAGGAAGTTCTAGAAGATCATCTCCTCCCTGAGGTACGGTATTACTAGTAACAAGTGCATCGCTATTAGTAGCAAGAAGCTACGGTATGGATGCTTTCAAGTTGAACCTTCAAGGTGTGGTTCCCGTGTCAGCTAACGCACCTCATCAGGTTGCGTATCCACTTTCCAAATTCTTGTCTTGTGGTTCGGCCACTTGCTCACCGCTTTGGCAGTGCAATTCTACCGACACTGCCAGTGTCGGGCTGCCTGCAACACCACATACGTGGCGTTTTCGTGTTCCTTTGAGTGTTCAAGTGTGGGACCCTGGGTCGCCCAACAGACGCGCCCGAGGCACCCAGCCTGCAGCGCCAGCGAGGAGCAGCTCGCGGAGTTACGACTCCGGCGGCCCAACGGTGCGGAGACGAACGGGGCAGGGGGGGAGGTGAGTGAGGTGGTGAGGCCAGGGGGCATCCCCCCGAAAAGCCACCGGTAGATAACAGGTTTTAAGAAGGGAGGCCTTCGGAATGCATGGCTTCTGGATGTGCTTTCATGTTTTTCAGGCCCTTCCAAGCCAGATGGACAGGGCCAGTTGAAGTGACTTGTTTGTTTGCCAAAAGATTTTTGAGTGTTTGCATGTTTGGTTTAGTAGTTCGATGTTCAACTGGAGTGATTCATTCTGATGACATGAAAAGATGTCTTTTTTCTGGCTTTCCTGGGATTCACGGACATTCTCAAAAGGCACATGGAACTAAAGAGCACTACGCCACTACGCACCCAGCGCTATCTTCAGAACTTTCCAACCACCCTGGTGGCTGAACGTTGGGAAAGCGACCCCGCGATACGCGTTGGTGATACGGTCACACCACCGGTCACACCACGTCCGCGAGGTCCGCGAAATTCGACTCCAGGGTCCGATGGTCCGTGCCGTTGGGGTTGAAAAGCCGGTCGCGAGGTGTTCGGTGTCCTCGGAAGAACTGTCTAGGCGTCCCTCAGAAACACAGTTAGTGGGCGAGTGAGTGGAGAGCATCGATCTGAGTCGATGATTCTCGTGCTCCAAGTAGTGAGTTTTGGCCTGATTGATCCAGTTGAAACCGAATGCTGGATGGGAAGAACTGTGAGAAATCACAACGTCCAACTGGAGACGGCCAGTTTCATTTTTGCATAGCGAGAAAGCAAAAAAAAGGAACTACAAACAACAAAGCTTCAAATGATTTGAAGGCATTTCCTGTATGATGCACCTTCTACCTCCTTCTTTGGGGGGGAGGGGAGAAGGGTGCACTCCACTTCTGAGACCGTGATCCCCTCAATGTTCCAGAACACACTCGCTCCTTCCGTTTTTGTTGCCATCTCCGGAGGTTTTGCGCATGACGAGGATCCTTCCCTGCAGGTGTGCACCGACGCTTGGCCGGTGCTGGGCTTCGGTCCACTGATGGACGGGGGTGCTGCCGCTCGCGTGACGGGTGGCAGGGGCGAAGAGAGCCCGTTTAGGCTCCACATGGGAAGCTGGAAGATGCAGTGGATGCTTCTTTGGCTTGGCAGGCGCTAGCATTTGTAGAAAATTACCTAGAAATGTTGAAACGATAGTTGGATAGGCTAGGTAACATTCTCGCTCGTGTGGCCTTATTCTGCCTGTCATCAAGCGGTTGGTTGGATCTACACTGTTTTGACTTACATGTTCTTGGCCTGGAAGACTTGGGCTCATCGACTTCGAAAAGACTTGTTCAGTTGGTTGGGTCTTTCTTATGTATATGAGTACTGTATATGTTGTCTTTGTTTGAGACTTGGGTCCCGTCTTTGTTATACGTTGTTACCACTATGATCGGTCCACGACCGAAACGATTTGGCGCCACGAGGTCTCGGCTGTGACATCAATTCTACCGGGGGCGTCGCAGCCGAAAAACGCACCGTTTGCAGAGTGTTTTGCATTTTGGCGCCTGCGCACGTCTTAGTGCAAAAAAGATGGTTGCGCGCACCTCTTTTTTTACTCTATATTCAGAGGCATCTCACGTCCAAAACGCAACATGGACTTGTGTCCCCTTGTATGTCGTTTTTCGTGCGGAACGGGAATCATCCTCGCCCCAGGTTTGTCGCCGTCTACCGCTTCCTCGAGGGAAAGCCCACCCGGCCTCTCCGCCATTGGATGCCAGCTTCCTCGCGGGGATCAAAGAGGAGATGAGACTGAAGATACTGAAGGAATAACGCCTGGTAAGTTCAAGATGGAAAGCTATCTTCCTCTGAAAGCAAGTGGTTCTTGAAGTTCTATGTTTAAGTTTCCCGGTGCACTCTGTACTTACCAGCCCTGAACTAGACGAGGTCGAATTCGCGAGATTCGGCCGTACTCGGCCCGAAACCGACCGTGACATAGCACCTGGGACCCCATATTCGGTTTGGCTCACCTTCCGGAGGTGGATGGCCATGGCACGATGCCGAGGTAGGCAGACGCGGTTCCGAACAAGGTGGACCATCCATGTCACAAGGTGTTCCGTGTCAAGTGAGGCCGGCATCAGACCTGATAGATCATGATAGATCTGGGTCCCTTCGATGGCAGCGATAAAAGCAGATCAGCACGCCGTTTTTGGGGGTTGAGAGAGGCGGTCACCACCGTTACTGTAACGAGGTCCATGCCCACAAACAAAAAAACAGACTCAGACTCGGACCCTTTTTGGTGGCATCATCGTGCTGCAAGTGTTTTTGCATTATTTCGCGTTGTGTTGGCGTTGTGTTGTCCTGTTTTGGATGGTTTGGAGGAGCTGGCATCCATTGAAGAGAACGAGCAGAACATCCAGTCCTTGTCGCAAGTTTCTTGGACCTTTCTAACCGGAGCAAGGCGACTTTACAGTGGTTTCACGGGTTGATGGCACTGACATGCCCAACGAGCCAGTGTGCTCTTTTGATAAGGGTCGGCATCTTCGGTGTCCAAACCTCACTCCTCTACTGCCCCAAATCTCACAGCCTCATTCTGGCCACAAAATTCGGGAAGCACTCCAAGTCAATTACAGTGGGTTCAGAGTAGATGGCACAATACCCCAGTTCGGGGGTTCAAAACCGACCCCACCTACAAGACATCTTGGGGTGCCAGTCCCACCCGCCGACAAGCCAGCCCCTAGTTGACCATTTTGAAGATGCACCAGTTTCCACAAGAAAGTCATTTGGAGACCCAAATTCATTTATTGGTATGACCCACTGGCCTCCACCCCGATCGACGGTCCATCACTGCGGGTGTTCGATGGAGGTCTTCCGCTTCTATGCGGGGAATGCCCAGCAGCTGGCAGAGCTCTTGGTGGACTTCATCACAAAGAAGCACAGCACAAAAACGGGTGGGTGACCAACGAGGCAAACATGCAGGTAGATGCGTTCAGCGGGGACTTTGCGAAGTTCCTTTTTGGATGAAAGATCAGGAGGAGTCAAGAGTGGCTAAAGCCA